TACCTATTTATCTACTTGCAATTTCTTGCTTTCGAACTGCTAGGTTGGCAGGAGCTGGCACTAGAGACGGGAGCTCACTCCATCATGCGGCACACTCGGGTCTCGAACTGCTGAACTACTGACCTTCCACAGCCTGCAGTTCAGCATCTTAACCACTTGAGCCACCGCAGCTCTGCATAGGACTTCACAATTAGTCATGTACTTGTTGGAGCAGATCTGTGTTTGAAGACCTTTGTCCACTGCAGTGATGAATGATTTGGATCTTAGCCCTCATCCCATTGAGGGGATGAGTGTGTGCACATGTGCCTATGCTGCATTATTCTCCTTGGGGTTGTTCTTTGTGCCAGCTTGTTTTTGGCCCATCGCCATGTCGGGCTGTGTCCAATCCACAGTTCTAAAAACAAACACTTTGAGATCCTTCAGTGTGCCACTGCCCAGCCAGTGTTGACTTAGCATGATGTTTTATTGTATAATAAAATCAAGTGTTTAACAAGATGTTTGTGTTTTATTGCTTCACAAGGCTTACTCTCATTTCTTTCTTGTTCTGCAAGATAATGTGCAGTGTTAGCTGGTAAGGAGAAGGATGGATGGTTGTCTGGCACACAACCATCTCCAGCCATGGTTGGGGTACTCGAGAGACTTTGCATTTTTAAATCATATTTTTGTTGACAAATAATGAAGGGTAGTGGGGAGCAGAGGTAAAAGATGGCCACCCTGACCCAGTGTAATGCATGGTTGTTTCTTATAACATCTGTACACTCACTAAATTTTGGGCAGGGAGGTTTCTATGAGAATTTGAGTTGGAAAAAACATACAGCACAACATATATGTGTGTGTGTGTGTATGCATAAAATACATTAATGTTGTGCTCGCAGCATCAACACATTGCTCCAAATGTCAGAACCTGGCTAGGGTTATTGTATTTATTTATTTATTGCATTTGTATCCCGCCCTTCCCACAAGTGAGTTCAGGGAAGGTAACATCAAACTTTCATCAACATTACAGTTAGTTCTCAAATATTAAAACATTCAATTTAAAACCAAATTAGATTAAAGTTAAGTTAACTAAAAATGGTGACATACATTTCTATATTAGCCCCAGCAGCTGGATAGATGGTAATCATGGGCGAACATGGTGCATGTTAAAGAGGTGATAAGGTTGCAGAATTTAAATTGATTAAGCGACAGCAGAAGATTAAAGGCACTTACAGCAGCTTTTATTAAATTGTTCCATGTTGATTGAATATGAATGGGTGATTCTCCAGGGTGGATTTGATTTAAATCAAATTGATTTAAATTGTGATTTAAATCACGATTTAAATCACTAGTCAGTAAGACTCAATTAAAATCATGGTTTTCTACATAAAGGCCTGTTCTTGCTGGCCTTAATATTTGCAACCCAGATGAAGGTATCATTTTAGTATAATAACTTTTCAGGTTAGTTTTAGTTATATCAGAAAATTAATGATTGGTTATTTACCACTTATGAAATCATTGCAAGGTGAACTATCTCTAAGAGACTGTTGTTCAAATATGAATGATTAACTTTTCTGCTGCACTGTATTGGATAGGGTTGCCAGGTCCCCTCGTCAGTCTGGTGGGGGGATTTTGGGGGGGCATTTCGGGGGTGGGCAGGGATGTCCCCAAGTGTGACCACCCACCTGGCCACCCCTCTCCCTCCCCTCCTGCTCAATTTAAAGAGCTTCAACTGATATGCAGGGAATACCTGGGCTGTTGATCAGCTGGAGGGTTCTTTAAATCTAGCAGGAGGGAGGGAGAGGGGGGTGGGGGCCGCAGTGCATGGGGCTGGGGGAAATCAGCCCTGTGTGCTGTGACCCCCCCACCCCACTCACAAACCCAGTATGTGGCCTGTTACCGCCCCCTCCTTCCCTCTTGCTAGATTTATAGAATCCTCCAGCTGATCAGTGGGCGATGTGATCCCCACTGATCAGCTGAAGGTTTTTAAATCAGGCAGGAGAGGAGGAAGAGGACTGGCCAGGTGGGTGGTCATGGGACTTCACACCGGCCAGCTGGCCGGGGGCAAATTGGAGCCCCCCAAAATGCAGGAACCCCCGCCCAGATTAACAATAACAGTATACAGGATATGTTTTTGTATTTGCTTAAACATCCATGAGGATTCACTCACAAAGATCTCAAGATTTCTCGAGTAGTACGCCCAAAAAGTTTCACTTTCATCTGTACTGCTTGTCCCTTCCTCCTCACACTAAGCTCTTAACATCCCTTCCTTATCCAAACCTATTTCACCCCAAACAATCTTATAGTCATTGGACTTTTTGAAACTTAGCACTTAAGAGATAAGGGGTTGATTCTGTGTGCATAGATTTGTGGAGGACCAATAGGACTGAGTTCTCTGAACTCTGGGTTTTTATTTTATAACATTTTTACTGTGAAGATCTTTGCAGACACAAATTCACAGTTTTGAAAACTAAAACCAAGCTTCTGTGATAATATCTTCTAGACAGAAAAATTGCCCAATAATCTTACAGAAACCTCTGGAAGAGCATGACATTGTGAATGGATTAATGGAATTCATTTACCAAATTTTTAAAGATTCCATGAATATATAGCCAGGGCCGGCCCCAGGGTTTTCCCCCACATCCACAGAGTTCAAGCCAACTGGGCATCAATTATCTTGGCTAGATCTTTAGTTTTGGGTGTGAGTGGCTCTCCATTGTTTCCAAAATGTTGCCTTCTTAGGCATGTCCCCTGGGGGTGGGCTTTTTCTTGTGGCAAGTTTTGGGTTCTTATTCTGTGAAATGTTGCGATGCATATGGCACTGACATTTATAGCCTTCGACATTCTAAGAAAGATACAGAAACACCGTGATTGAATATGTGTTGAGAGGAAATGAAGACACTGCTGCCAAAGGCACAGTTCCTTTTTAGATGGCCTTTTTGTCTAGTACAGGGGTCCCCAACCTCTCTAAGCCTGCAAGCACATTTGGAATTCTAACACAGGGTTGTGGACACTATCACAAAATGGCTGCCGAAAGAGAGTGGAGCCAACCACAAAATGGGTGCTACAGGAGGCAGAGCTAACCACAGAATGTCAGGGAGTGTGGGTGAGCATAACTCTAATAGCAACTCTTCAATATTTCAGGCAGAAATTCTGTTTTAACAGAATGCCTTTTTAAATAAACATATTGTTTTAAAACATTTCCTTGCATACACTCGGCTTACCTACATTCATGCAGTGAAGATCCTTATGCTGTAGTGACAGCTGCTGCTGAAGCCGTTTTTTTAAAACTTGCACAGCCATGGCCAATCAAAAGCCCTGCTGGGCAAAAGCCCCAACTGGCCCTGCCCACTTTCTAAAACACTTGGTGAGTGCCAGGGATGGTGTTGGCAAGCACCGTGGTGCGTGCCTAAAGGCACCATGTTGAGGATCCCTGGCCTAGTTTAACATGTGCTTCCACTAGTGTGCATTGTTTCTTTCTAGCCCAAAATGGCATTTCATCTCCAGTACCGTTTTCTCAAAGTCGGCCTTGTCTTAATTGCATCTTGGTACGGATTACTTCTCTTGTGCTCTTATGTGGGCATACTTCTCACACGTATGAATTCTTGCCAGCTAACTTTAAGTTGGAGCTTCTTGTCATTTGGTAGAAGCATATATAAATACAGTGGCGTTCTGCATAATGGTTGTGGTATTTAGAAATGCAAATGAGCTGCCTGTACTGACATGAGTGATATGGAACACCTTAAGATGAACAGTGGAGAATATTCCACAAGGCAGCAGCCTTTATCCTTCTTGACTGCTATATCAGAGTCATGATCCTATGTATGAAATTCTGGTTCCTTGGTCCAGTGGGTTCTGTAGCAACACCTGAATCTTCATCATGTGCAGCGATTAGTTTGCTGCTCTTGTCAAGGAAATTGGGAGTTGCAGAGGAACGGAATCGTTTCCCTTGGTAGAAGCTACATCCATAGTCTGCAGATGGAGTGTTCCATGGGATTGCAGCAGGTCCCAGTCATGTCTTGGGGAACAATTATCCACCCTTTCTCCGAAGAGATTTGGAACTACTTAGCCAAGAGTAAAATGCAGCGTCCTTTTCCAGGGCATCCTGGCAGGAGAAGCTGCACAAATGCTGTGGCAACTTGGTCTTCCCTTGCTCAGCCTTTCAAAGGCCTGGATTCTTTGGGTAAACACCACAGCAGTGTTAATTGCAGGGTCTTGTCGCGAAATCCTCTGGGAGCAGGAGCATTGCGCTCCAATGAGAGGGGAGTCATCTACTTGGTCTGTTTGGGTCATTTGCCGGCTGTGTGTGCTTAACAGAACGTGCCCTTGTGCCTCTAATGGTGATGAACTTGGTGCTGTCGATGAGGTGGGGCAGGAAAGTACAGATTCGTAACTGAGGAGCTGATCCCTTGGGGTTAGTCTCCTGCACATTATTTAAGTATGTATCATAGTTTGTCAGTGCTCTTGTTCTCACCTCTGCCTTGCTTCTCCTCCCACCTTCTGTCCCAGTCTTGCTGTGAGTGGTGGATTCTGAGAACACGTCCAGCTATTTAAATAGGCCATTAGGTGGCAGCAATAGGCTGTGCACAGAAGCACCCCCAACCCCCTGGCTGCCATGTATTTGCATAACTGTGCCATAGTGAGCTACAAATCATTATCTGTTGGAAGAGGCATAATAGAAGGGGAATATACGTTATGGAGGAGAATAATGGATAGGGACAAGGGCCTGAAGAAGAATGAGAGGAGCAAAAAGTCAGAGCTGTTGGAGAAACATGTATGCGAAGAAGGTTTTCTGTGCATGGCGGGAGAAGATGAGATGTGGTGTTTGAATATGGCTGAGTCTGTGAAGTGTTTCTTTCTTCTTTGCTGCTGTGCTGTGGGCTGCCTTTGTGGTGGCCCTTGGTGGTATGTATTTAACCCGACTTGTATGCGGGCAGTTGTCATGAATCAAAGCTCCTTGGCAATTTACTGTTTTTGCTTCAGGACTCCAGTTCACTGGCTCTCTCTCTCATCACTTCCTACAGATCCCAAAGAACTGGTGTGCTGTCAAGTTTGGAGCCTGAGGTCCGGCATCTCCCTTCGCCTTGACAACATCCCCAATGCGACCATGGGATCTGGCAGTGAATAGGCGCCCTCCTTCTGCCCCCTTTGACCAGCGGCGATTCTCAGGGGGAACTTGTGGCAGCCCAGCACACCTCAGGAGAAGGTACAGCACATTGCTCTTTACCCAGCCATACAAGATTTCTTGAGGCAAACACTGGGAAGTTGAGGGGTTCCCTATACCTGCAATATTTACTGCTACATCCACTATCACTTAAATCACTGGCTGTTGCTAGATTACTGGTGGTAGTGAAGGTGATATAATATGGGCTAGTATTTCTAGTGTCTGAAGAGCTCTATATGTAGTAGTAGTAGTAGAAACAAAGATGGTACCCATATTAATATGGTTTAGGCATAAGTCTATAGGCAGTAAAGCCATACCGTGGAAGGAAGGAATATGGTAAACAAAGTAGACCTCCAGTGTCTCGAGTGTAGTGCTTTTTTTCCTCCAAAGGTAGCCTTTTGTACTGACTATATGGAGTTATGCTAACAATGCACAAAACCTACTACTCGTATGCTCACTGGTGGAGGACTCTCTTGGCCATAGAGGTGGGAAGGGGTAAACATGAGCTTGGATCCACTGGAAATTTCACCGACAGAAGAAATTACTGACAGTGGGGCAAGATTTTCCTGCCTCCCCCTGCTGCTCCTGGGGGACAGGACTCTAGGAACAACAGAAGGGGGAAGTTGAAGGTCTGCAGTAGGAGAGGGAATTGGTGAAAATTGCTCCTCTTCTGTTTGCAGAAATCTGTGCTGGATCCAGCCCATGCATTTCTTGCATTGTGTAATTTTCTTCAGGTATCTGTAGAAAAGGTTTACAAACACCTCTAATTAACCAAGGAGCCATTTAAATTTTGCCCTTACTCAAGAGTTCAGCGTGCTCTCACCAGTATCAAAACAACAGGCCAGAAGGGTACTAAAAGGGAAGATGTTGGGTGGAAAGCCATCCATAACACCAGCCCATTGTTGATGACCACAGGCTTCCTTCATTTGCCCCCTAAGAACTGAGCCAGCCAACAGTAGGAATCTACCAATGTCTGGTATGATTTCCGAAGCGTATATCTTAGATATGGAATGAGGTTGGCAGAGTTCATGGCCTGTCTTCCTCCCAGATATTGGCACAATAGCTTCACACTACATCAAACAAGAATCATGCCAACAATGACAACTTGTTCTGTGTGGCATACGTGTACAGTGTTGTGGCTGGATTCCAGTTGTGCTTTATCAGCAGTTGATCCCCTTGTGTTGTGCTGCTATCCTTGCCATAAAAGTGGCTGTAGCTTAGCTAAGAGCTTGGCACAGATAATTGGCTGGCCCCTGGGGTCACCCCTCTATATTTCTCTCCCCCAACTGGCTCCACAGCCCTCCTTCCCGGCACCACTGGGGCCGACGTGAGCGACCTCTGCAAACCCTGCTAGCCCAGGATGAGAACTACTTGCACCCGGCTTTTTTCCAGCAGCAGCAGCCACAGCCACACGTTCCTGTAGATGAGCACCCGGCGTACGTTCTGGCCAATACGCCACCACGAATGCTTCACCCGGCTGCGCACCCACCCCACCAGCATCCATTCATGGTGGATCTCCACGAGCAGGTGGGTTCTCTGTTTGTGTCTAAGGTGGGGAGGGGATTCAGTTTGCAAGAGCAATTTCAGTGGCTGAAATCTTGTCCTTTCAGTTCAAAAATACAGGCTGGGGCTTGCTTGGAACTTGAATCATCTTGACTTAGTATCCTCGGCCAGGATGAGCATCCCCCGTCCATTTTCTCTGTTGAAGAAGAGCAATAAGGATCATGTTGGACATGCTCAGTATTGCCTGTACAGCAATGAAGATGAATCCCCCTTGTAACTCTTTCTCTGTGTGGCGCATTCAGATATGTGTGCACATCCATATGTTCACTGAAGGGTGGTGGTCTGAGCCCACCTAGGGGCATACTACAACTGGTGTGAGTGAACCCCTTTCTTTGGGACATGCAGGCTAGATGCGCAGGTAGCTGTTTATGAAGTAAAATTTGTATCCTGCCCTTCCTCTTGGTGCAAGGCAGTTTACAATAATAATTAAAACAACCCCAGCTGAAACCAAAGATAAAATAATAAGCCCCAAATTTCTCCTTCCTTCCCCACTTAAAAGATGCCAGCTGTTCAAACCCCCTTAGACACCCTGGAAAACAGGCAGGCCTTGCAGCACCTTCTGAAGTTCTCTAAGGAGGCCCCCCCCCACCTCTTCAGGGAGCCCGTTCCCCAGAGCTGGAGCCACAGTGGAAATGGCCAGGGCTGTGATCAATACCAGATGGGTCTCCCTAAGTGGTGGGATAGCCAATCGATGGCTGCCTGAGGACCGTAGTTGGCACACAGGGACATATGGAGGGAGACGGTCCTTCAAATATGTGGGCCCTAGATCAAGAAGGGCTTTAAAAGCCATAACCAGCATCTTGAATTGAACTTGGAAACAGACTAATGAAACTGTTTCAAAATGGACCACATGTGCTCCTCAGTTGTTTTTAAGGGCAGCCTTCTGTAGAGTGCAGTGCACTAATCCAGCTGTGAGGTTACAGAAGCATGAATCAGTGTGGCCAGATCAGCTGCATTTAGGTAATGAGAAGGTTGGTGAATTATGCTAAATTAGATGCAGCTGTTAGAAGGCCAGCTTGCTTTTCAAACAGCAAGGCAAGGTCCATGAGCACCCCCCCATGCTCTTAATCTGCTCTGAAAAAGCCAATGTTACTCCATCTAGGGCAAGTGGATGCAGTCCCCCCAAGAATATCAGCCTTCCCGATCAATGTTAGCGCTGCCTTGTCTGGATTCAGCTTCAGTTTGTTCTGCCTTAACCACCTGACCACAGCCTCAAAGCACCAGTTCAGAACCAAGATGGATGCATCTGGAGGCTTGGATAATGAAATACAGAGCTGAGTGTCATCTGCATATTGCTGTCAGCCAACCCCAAAGTTCCAGACACTCTCACTCAGTGGCTTCTTTTTCACACACACACACACACACACACACACACACACACACACACACACACACACGAGAGAGAATAGAACCTTGTGGCACCCCACAACATAAATTCCACCCAGTCGATTCTGTACCTCTGGTGAAAACCAGTTAGACAGAAAAGAGCAAACCCACCAAAGGGCTATGCCCTTAATACCAACTGCATATTCAAACTGATGGATAAGAATGGAGTAGTTAGCTGTATCAAAGGCCACTGAAAGGTCCAACAGGGAAGATTGTCCCCTGTCCAACTTTAAAGGAAGATCATCCACCAGTGCAACTAAAACCGTCTCAGTACCAAACCCAGGCCTGAAGCCAGACTGAAATTTGCCAAGGGCAGATGTGTCATTTAGGAAACCCTGGAGCTGCTCTGCCACCACATGCTCTATCACCTTTCCTAGTAAAGGTAAAATGGAGACTGGCCTGTAATTGGCTACCTCATCCCTAGCTAAAGAAGGTTTCTTGAGCAGATATCTATTAACTGCCTCTTTCAAAGGCCTAGGGAGAGTCCCCTGAATCACAGAGGAGTTGATGATTTTCACTAACAGCTTTTTAAAGTTTGCTGGGGGAAAGTATTGGAGCCATGATGGCCCTCAAACTTCCAAGGACCCTGTCAGCATCTGTAAGCAGGATCAATGTGAAACTGTCCACAACGAAAGGACAAGGAGGTGCTTCTGACACCGCAGGTACTGGATCCGCCCGACACCTCGGGTAGTGGATCTGCCCTCAGCTTGGCCTCCAAGTCAGAATGGATGAGGGAGATTTTGTCAGCAAAGAACCTTGGCAGAAACATCACAGCTGGTGGCTAAGTTTTCATCGCACGCAGTGTCGGACTTAGGTGTTATCAAATAATCTACCACCTTGAGTCCCTGAGCTGGACAAGATTCTGCTGATGCAGTGGTGGCAGAGAAGAAAGCCACCTTTGCTGCCATCACTGCCGCCTCATAGGCCTTCGAATGGGCTTTGTCTGATTCATCTGAGTCTTCTGCCAACGTTGCTCTGCTTGTCTTCCAGACTGCTTCATGTTGCTCAGCCCCCTGGTAAACCCCAAGAAGCTGGGAGCCTCACAGAGTGTGGAAGAGAATGCCAAGGAGCAACTCTGTTTATAGCCCCAGTCAGCCTATCATTCCATGCAGTTACAAGGGCCTCCACGACCACAGGTGCCTCAACATAGTGACTGGGGAGACTCTCAAAATCACCTAGAGCTGCCTGAAAACCAGCAGGATCTACTAATCTTTGATTCACCAGCAAGGAGGAAGGCAACAAGCTCACTTGTGCCTTCAGAAGATAGTGATCTGACCACAACAAAGGCCAAAACTCAAGCCCTCTAATCAAAATCACTGCAAGCCACTTGGTGCAGAAAAGGTGCAGAAAAGTATGCCCTTTGTCCCACATTGGGCTCATTACAATCTAAGACAGTCCCTTGGGGTTCTCAACACCAAGTCCGAAACCACCTCCGTTAGCTCAGCCAGAGATCCTGCAGGATCCTTGATCTGTCCCTGGTGCTCAACGCAAGGTACATACAATCAAAGCTGGCCTCTATCTGCACCAGGTACCTAGTGATAGAGAAATGTCCATGGAAAAGAAATGCTACCCCACCCCTGTCCCTACCAGTCAAGGTTGGCAAAGGACTTTATATCCACCTGGTGTGAGCTGTGTCAGAGTGACCACATCATAGACATCCAGTCAGGTTTCACTCAAGCAAGCTGGGTCGGCCTGTTCTTCACACAGCAGGTCAGATATTGCTGTGATCTTACTTTTCACAGATCTGACATTGCACAGCACCAAGGTCGAAGTGGAGCCACTTAACAGAGCATCCCCACTCACGTTTTGAGGGATAGGATGGAGATTAGAAATGCAACGAGCACCATTACATCTCCCTCCATGTTTTCTGAGATCAACACTCTTCCCATCGGTATATCTTCCCATCCCTGCACTACCTTAATCCAACACACATGGCAAGTTTCCTACCTCAGACCTCCACAACCACCACTTGCAAGAGATCGCACATAAGGTTCCACCAGCCACCAAAGTTCCACCTTAGATGGGAAGTGTGTTATGAAGGCTAGCTAAGCCAGAAAGGGGCTGACTGCTAGCAGAGCTGAGCCAGCATGCAGGCTTCTCCAGGTGCAGTCAGTGTCACGAACTGAGCACCTCAGGATCCTTCCAGTCTCTTCAGCTTATTTATTTATTTATTTATCAAATTTATACACACACACACCCCCGTAGGGCTCAGGGCGGCTTACAAAGGCGAGATTACCTTGCTACAATAAAACATAATATACTTATAGTTTAAAACATACTATACATCTTAAAATCTAATCCTAATTCAGGTAAAGTGCTCAGTATTCTTCAAGGGCTTCAAAATCCAAAGATGACGGAACAATTCCAAAAAAGTTCCTGGTAGACGGTCTGTGGCTTCAGTATTCAGATGTTTGTTCTCAGGGCCTCTTCCAGCCCACCACGGTGGTGATATAGTGGGGGGCGGCGGCCCCTACTCAAAAGCCTGGTGGAAGAGCTCCGTCTTGCAAGCCCTGCGGAACTGCATAAGATCCCGCAGGGCCCGGATCTCCCCCGGGAGCTCATTCCACCAGGTAGGAGCCGCCACCGGAAAAGCCCTGGCCCTAGTGGCAGCCAGTTTAGCATCCCTGGGGCCCGGAATAGTTAGCAGATTTTGGGCCCCAGACCGTAGTGCTCTTGGGGGAAAGGCGGTCCCTCAGGTAGGTTGGACCCAGACCTCTTCTCAGTGACCAAGTGAAGCAGATAGCAACAAGCAGGTGGGAGGACTAGATGGAGGCTTTTTCCCTTCTCCCCCAAACTGCCGAGACAGCAGCAGGCACTTTCAAGTTTGCTGCTTGCAGATCATGGAAGGACCATAATTCACAGACAGAGCATGTGTATTGCATACATAAGGTTCCAAGCTGAGTACCAGGTATCTCACATTTAAAAGACTGAGCTTCTTGGTTAGTAGAACTGGGAATGATTTCTGTGAGAAAGGACACTGCTAATTAGGATAAGTGATGTTTGGTTAGAGGAGTCAGTGGGCTGATAATACATGGCAGATGTATAGGTTCTTGCTTGGTAGGGTCAGGCTGAGCCCTCTGGATTTGGAGCCAAAACTCTTAAGAAGTTCCTCACTGCTTTCTCCTCACTGTACCCACTGCTGTTGGTTTTCCTCTGTGGAGCTATGCCCCTTGATTTTATGGCCTTCCAAAGAAAGGTGTACAAGGGACAGGAAGGATTTTGCCTATGTCCCTTCTGGTCATGTGCCTTCTCCATGCCCATATGGAAAATGCTCAGTTCTTTCCAAGGGTTCTGATCAGAACTGAATGTGACAAACCATGCTTCCTCCTTTTTTTTTTTTTTTTAGTAAACAAATTTTATTTTCTCAGGAATACAACATGTAAGCTTAAATCATTTCATTCTATCAATTGTCTACCCCATTCCCAATTCCTCCCCTCCCTCCAATGGCTTCCCACAATGCTTCCACCCCTGCTCCAAATTACTTCATATCATCAACAATATCATTTGACTTAATATTGATCTAAACATATTAAGTTTTGTTTCACATCCCAGTTCTTTTCCAGATATATTTTAAAGTCACTCCATTCTTGAAAAAACACGTCGTCTTCTTTGTTATTCAACTTCTTTGTAATTTTGTCCATCTCTGCCATGAACAGAACTTTTTGTATCCAGTCCTCAATTTCTGGCACTTTCTCTGTTTTCCAAAATTGTGCATAAATCATTCTCGCTGTTGTGATTAAGTACCAGAATAAGGTCTTTTTAGTTGTATTGACTTCTTCCATTTTCAATCCTAAAAGCAGAATTTCCGGTGCCTTTTTAAAAGAGCATTTCAGAATTTTTTGCATTTCTTTGTGGACTTTTGTCCAAAAGTCAACTGCTTTCTCACAAGTCCACCACATGTGGTAAAATGAGCCTTCATGGCTTTTACATTTCCAACACTTATTTGACATATTCTGGTTCATATTTGCAATTTTTTTCGGAGTCATGTACCACCTATACATCATTTTATAACAGTTCTCACAAACCATGCTTCCTCCTAACAGCCATCATTCCCTGTCGGACGAAGGAGTTGTGATAAGGATCCTGTGGAACCAGTGTCAAGGAGAAAGGACCATTAATGTCCATCTCACTTTGCCATTCTTAACTTTGTTTTGGAATGAACTGAGAACATTAAGAGAAAGAAAGCATGGTTGAGGGAGGCATGGAAATCGTGCAGGACAGAAATCTTGTGACTGCTAGAATGCCGACAGGTTGATTTCATTTGTTAAAGATGACCCACACCCTACATTTTTTTTCTCCATTGATATTTTTTAAAGCAAAAGCACAGATTTCTCTAAAAATAATGCAGACCTGCAAGTTTCATGGCAGAGATTACATGAACGTTTGTCACAGTCCTTTTGATCAGCTCATATTCCAGGGCGGGCCTCAAAACTGTTGAGAGCCTTGTCCCGATGGCACCAGTCATGCAGTCACCACTGGGCTTCTGAAGGGAAAGTACCTTCAAATCCAGCAGCCAAAGAAGTGACTCACCCTTTGATGGGCCTTTATTTATCTGTACCGTGGCCTGATGGAGAGTGGGGGCCTCAGTGTCCAGCAAGCTCTTTGCTACTGAATTTAGTTCTCCTTGTGTGGCACTTGGGGACCTCTGTAGAACATGGTTCCCTCAGACCTTTCTTCCACACAACCTGAGAGAGAGCTTTTACCATTTTGTGAGACAAGACGTTGTAAATTCTTGTATGTGCATTGTAGCCTCTGGTAGGCCTCCCTACCAGAGATGGTCCCTGCTAATAGTGTTCCTGTCCCTTTGCTCATGCACACTGTTCCCTAGGGAGCTGGTGTCACGTAACTGCCGAGCTCCAGATTTTAGTCTGTGCTGGTTTCACTTGGCTGAGTTCCAGGCTGCATTGAGTAAAAATTAAACCCAGCTGGAGACTGTGTTCCTAGCGCAATCTTTATCCAGGCCAGTGAGAGGGTCTGGTGGTGGTGGTCTGCCCACTGTCACTTTTCTTGTTAAATGCCTCCTCTCCACCGCAGGTTCCATTTTCTGTCTAGCAAAATAAAACAAGCTTAGAGACTTATTAAAATTATATCTGATGTTGACTGTTCAGTCTTTATACCCTCTGGCTGTAAGGTCCAACACAAGTAGTTTTTTGTTGGTACTCCAATGCAAGTCTGTGCCATGAGGCGCACATCTGGGCACACCACTCTGCACTTCCCTTCCTCCCAGCAATGTATCTAGGCTAAGGGTCTGATGTCATTTTACGGGAACCTTTTAGACCAATGGTATAATGTGCTGCTGTGGCATCCAGCACAAGGGCTTGCTCCAGTGCACAGGTTATCTGGGAGGCTGGCCTTCTTGAGGACCGATGTTCAAAAGATGCTGGGAGACCAGTTTTCCAAGGAAGGCAGCAAAGGGCCTAGATGGAAACTTGAAAGAGAGGGTCTTCCTAAGGGTGTAACATCAGATTATATACGAATGAACAATTTTTAAAAATGGTAACTGATGAAATATGATTCAGAATGAAATCAAACAATAAAGGCTGTGAAAAGGCAGTCCAAGAGCTGTATAGGCTGGGTCGGGCGTGTCCAACCTACAGCCTGTGGTCCAGAACTGCCTGTCCAGGCCTTTAATATGGCCTGGAAGTGGGTCTCTTCTCTCCCCCCTCCCCTGCCCATCCTCACTGTTCTGAGCTTGAGCTGCCTCCGAGTATAAAGATCAGCGGGTGGGGCTGTCTCTGAGGGCAGGAAGCAGAGGACGGGGCTGCCAAACTTCCCAGCCACCACTCCCGGTATCTGTAGTCTTCCTCACAGGTAGGAGCTGGGGGGAGGGGCTCTGCTATGGTCCTTGTGCTTCTTTTTTATTTTAAAACTTGCTTTGCAAAATCCCACCATCCCCCCACCTTTCCAGTTTAGACAGGCATGGTTTAAGGGCGTGGGGGGGGGGGAGGTTTTGGACCAGTCAGGGTTAAAATATAGAGTTCTGCAAACTCAAGGGACTCCACACACCCTCCTAATCTGTAGCTCCAGTGGAATAATAGCAGAACAAGTGCTGAAGAGGACACCCAAAATTATTATCTCAAACCATCCAGTAAAAAACCCCTGAGACCCTGGAGAGCCACTGCCACTCTGAGTAGACTGGGGCTGGGGCTTCAGTTTTGCAGAGAAATACTAGTTTTAACACACACACCCTCCTAATGTGGGGCTCCAATGGAATAGCTGCTATAATATCTTGAATTGTGTTTGTCTGTGTCCTTTATAGAGTTTGTATCTCTGCTATCTGGCATTACATTTTATGACACACATGGCCCGGCCCAACAAAGTCCCATTTATGTCAAATCCGGCCCTCAGAACAAATGAGTTTGAAACTCCTGGGCTAGGTGATTGGTCAGCATCTTGGTGCATTCCGCAAGAGACCTTTCTGCAAGAGCCAGTCTGGATGCAGAGGTTCAGCAATACGTATTCCTTAGTAAACAAAATATATTGTAGCTTTGCAGTGTTGACTGAGATGAATAATGTCTCAAAGGTTGGAAGACATCTTTGTGTGATTAAAAGTTTTTCAAGGCCTGAGAGCCATGGTAGAGAGCTGCCTTCAGCAACACTTGTCTCCAAGGTTCCTGTGTCAGTTCCAGAGACTTGAGAGCAATGGTGGCTTCTACTAGGAATGAATAGAAATTTGTTTGTATTTAGCCATAGGCCATTACAAACCAAGGATAACAACAGAGAGGGATGCTATAAATATGAATATTGATATGAAATAGAGTAAAATTTAAGATAGAATCGAACCATAAAATCAGAATAAAATAAACCGAGGATATAGGAAATTAATTGAATCAAAAGGTGTCTGCTGAGAGCAATACTAGTTCCCATAAGAACAGTGTTGGCCCATATCTTCTTTGCAGCCCAAAGCATATAATGCCATTCTAAGATATGCTGACATCAGAATCAGCTAACAAGAATACAATCTTCTCAGAGTCTGAGTAGAAACGTAAGTCCGATAAAGTCTCGGAGAGGAATTTTAACCTAGGTTGGGCATACATCCAGCATTCAAAAATATAATGGGGAAGATCCTCAGTAACAGAAGAGCCACAAATACAAAAGCGCAGTTCCTTAGGTGTTCTACCATAGCACCCGGCTAATACAGCCGTTGGCATTGATTCAAAAATTCAAGGATGTGAAGGCTTCTCTGAGGTTATGATTATCTATACTAACTAGGAAGGAGGATCTCAAATGGTCGTTCTTAAACAATTTGAACCAAAGAGCAGACTGTAATCTTAAGAGTAACTGTCTAACAGAGCATCACACTTAAATAGCCAGTCTCTAAGATGTGAACTGTTTGTTGAAGGACTGAGAAGGTCATCAGGAATGAAGTACCTTGATATTAGATTATTAAGAAAACAAGAACACTCCAAGTCTTTGGATAACATTGAATTAAATGCCAGTTGACTGAATGAGTCAGAACTGGCAGCTCTGTTTTCCTCCCCAAGATTTTAGAACAGCAAGGTTCACCTGCACCCTTAAGGAAGGAAGGCCAGTTTCTGCTCTCATCAGGGCGACTGGCGTTCCCTTAGGAAGGGCCAGGATGCGCCTTAAAAACTGAATTTGAATTGTTTCTATACTAGTAAGGATATCCTCTTTCCATCCCCAAACCTCAGCAGCATACAAAAGGTGGGGGAGGTGGCTTCTACTAGGAACCAGCACTTCAGCTGATTGGCACACTTGAATACACATGAACCTGTATGAGTGTCCTTAGAGGAAGTTTTTTCATAGTGGCTCTCGGGCTCAAAAACGTTGGATCACAGACTGTGGCTGTCAACCTCTGGGAAGCCATTCGGTTCAGCCAACACTGGGAAGCTGTGAGGTTGATATTATCCTTGTTAACTGTATAGATTGGTGGAGCTTAGCATTTTCTTGCTGCAGGTCTCCTGAAAGAGGCCAAAGGCTCAGGCCCCTGTGATTCTTAAACTAACTTTCAGCAGACTTTATATAGAGTCTGAATCTTCATCCAATTGTTTGCGTGCTAGAGGGGGATGCTATAGCATTGTTGTGATCTTTCTAATACCCGTGGTTGATGAAGATCTCTGCAGTCCTGAAACTTGGCACTTCCTTTTGTAACACTGCTTGTTTGGATCCTACCTGGCACACTTAACTGTGGACTCAGGCTAGGAGAGGGGCTTCAGGTAGCTTGGATGTGCTGATGCAAGAGGAGATGCAGCTTTGACTCTGCTGTGCATTTCTCTTTCCTCCAGGTGCATCAGGGAGCCGTCCCTCTGTCCTACACGGTGACCACAGTAACAACACAAGGCTTCCCCATTCACACTGGCCAGCACATCCCAGGTTGTAGTGCGCAGCAGCTCCCAGCATGCTCGGTGATGTTCAGTGGACAGCACTACCCGCTCTGCTGCCTCCCACCCCCCGTGAGTGCACTGACAGGGGTACATGTACGTGTCCAGATTTATTGGGGGGGAGAAGGGAGCAGAAGTTAAAGTCCCTGTTCTCTGATGTGGTATGTTATCGCTACATGGCCCTAGCGAAAGCCAGTGTGGTGTAGTGGTTAGAGTGCCTGACTAGGATCTGGGAGACCCAGGTTCGAATCACCACTCAGCCACAGAATCTTGCTGGTGGACCTTGGGCCAGTCACATACTCTTAGCCCAACCCACCTCACAGGGTTGTTGAGAGGATAAAATGGAGGCAAGAGGGATGATGTTATCCTCTTTGGATCCCCACTGGGGAGAAAGTGGGGTATAAATGAAATAAATAAATAAAGCAAGCGACATTCTACATTCGCAGGAATAATCTGCTGCCCGTGGGACTCTTTCTCACTCTGAAGCCAGATTGACATCAGCTGCTTTTGAGCTTGGATGCCCTGATCCTAAGTGTGCCCCATGTTGCCTTCTTACAAAGACCCCCTTCTCCCCTGTTTCTTTTGTAGCTGATCCAGGCCTGTGCCATGCAGCAGCTCCCCGTCTCCTACCAAACGTTCCCGCCACTTATCTCCAGCGATCATTACATTTTGCACCCTCCACCGCCTGGGCCACCACACCAGCCTCCGCATATGGCTCCCCTCAGCCAGTTTGTCCCACTCCAGCCCCAGCATCCTCGCATGGTAAGTCTTTGGGGACATCCTCGGCTCAGTCGAAAGCTTGCTTTTGTGCACCCCGTGCAGAAGAGAATCATTGCAGAGATAAGTTTGGAGGTAGTTCAGTTAAACTGTCAAATCACAATTGTGCGTAGGTGAGGGTTCCAGTGGTCATGAAGGAGGGCATGTTACAAGGGTCCCATTTTTAAAATCTCCTACATTACATAATCTATTGCCTGTGTGATCAAGGCGAGACACAAACCCATGGGCTGGGTACGTCATCAGGCAGATCTAGTGTGACCATGCTGTACAACTGCTCTGTACCTGGTAGTTGGTGTAGAAGTAATCTTCTCTGGCAGAAATCCTATCCATTGGCTTGAATGCTACAAATGACTTCCATGCACATGGTTAGTCTCTGCCACAGTGTGCTTTCTCTTCCTCTGAAACTTCTGTTTCCACGAGGGCCCACTGAAGACTGTTGAGCTTCTACAAACAGGAATAGTTTCAGTGGATGAGGAAGTGCACTCTGCAGCAGAAACCGCCTAGTGTGCCTGGGACTCATTCACAGGATCCAAGCCATTGTCTTCAACTAGTATGGCAAAGGAAAGGTTAACGTGACATCAGCAGTCTGCTATTGTAGTACATGGAGGGGGGGTGTAGCTCACTGCCACTGAGTAGTTATCTCCATTGTGGACCTTGGCAGTGCATACGTTGTATTTATCTGTAGAATTTATGAATTGCATTTTCTCTTGAGGCCATGTACATTGAATACATTAAAAAGCTCAATCCATTTCTCTAGAACTTTCAAGATACAAAGTGCCATACATCATGCTCACATACACAGTATTCCATGAGTTTGGCCATTAATGTACCCATTTTATGGGTAGGTAGGTGAAACCAAGGTGCCTGAGAGCAACTAGGGAGTCTGTGGCTGAATTGCTTGAAGCTTCTTGCCAATCTGTCATAAGTCCAGGTCAGAATAAAACATACCAGGCTTAAATTCTTTTCCGGTTAGGAGCAGGGGTCCATCCCTCCTAGCATGAAGGACTTCTCACAAAATGCCAAAAATTGAGTGGTGATCAAAAGGAGAGTAGTTAGCATTATGAAAGAATCTCCACAGCAGCAATAGTTGGACTAGGTGGCTTCTAGGTGTCTGGGTGTACAGTGCAAAATGTGGAATTTGGTCTTCTTCAAAAAGAAGCCCCCCCCCCCCCGGAGGAAACATTTTTTTATTTTGCATTGCACATCACAAATCCAGAAGCCACCTAGCTCAACTATTATTGGTAGCGATCTTGTTGAAATAAAAAATGCACTGTATACAATAGTAGATTTAACTTTGAAAACCAGTTCCAATGAGGATATCTGACAGCCCTTTGGAAGCGTTTGCTGATTTTAATAACTTCTCAAGAGGAAGGAAGTGGTTTGGTAATAAAGGAAAAGTGGGCAGTAATACCTCAATAGGGCATAATGTAGGGGAAGCTTTTTGTTAGTCTTCAATACCATGAAGGAAACTAGTGGAAGACTCAGGAGGAGGAGGAGTGTGTGAGTGGGAATCTCTGATAAAGCAGCTGGCTTTGCTTATCCCGTACTTAATCTGGTGGAGCCTCTCTTTGTGGTAAAGCATCCGCTTTCCATGCTGTAGGTCCCAGGTTCAACCCCCAGCATCTCCAGGGTAAAGGATCAGGCAGTAGGTGATTTTAAAGGCCTCAGCCTGACACCCTGGAGAGCCACTGCTGGCTGGAGTAGACAAGACTGGCTTTGGTAGATAGATGATCTGACCTGGTATAAGGCAGCTCCATATATGACAGCCATCCTCGAAGGGTAATGGGATGCCAGACAAATGAACAGAGTGGCATAGAAGATGGTGGAACAGTGAAAGGGAGGCGGAAGCCAGTTGGGACAGTGTGAGGGAGGAGTGAAGAGAGCAAAGGCAGGGGCTGAAGAAGAGAGAGAAGGAGCAGATAGCAAGAGCTTTTCTTCAGATCAGCTACTGAAAGGCGTTTGATGTAATTATTTAGTATTCAGAAGTTGCTTGGTATCAGTTTTATCTCTGTGTTTTGTTTTTTGCATTGTTTATTGACTTAGTTCTGTGTATCGTGTGTATTATAAAGAGAAAACATTTAAGCATTGAAAAGGACAGAGAATGAGTGCCACTCTCTTCGACCTAGAACTGAGCCAGTGTGTTTTATGCTACTCCTCTCTTTCTCCCCACTCCAGTCCTCAGGTGTAGCTGGTGGGCATAGTTAGACAGCAGCCCTTAGCACAAGATCTCTGTTGCCTATGCTGTCAAGTCACAGTTGTCTTAGGATGACCCTGCAGGGCTTTCAAGGGAAGGGATTTTCAGAAGTGGTTTGCCATTGACTTCCTTGGTGGTCTCCACCAGGTACTAACCAGGGCTGACCTTGCTTGGTTTCTGCGATCCGACAAGAATTGCCTGTCCTGGACCATCCAGGTCAGGGCATTGAGACTTTCTCTAAAAAGGGGACAGATTGGGCAAACTCAGAACCTTGTGTGTGTGTCCCCCCCCCCCCAGTCAAGAACTAAGGTACACAACTATCTGTGATGGCCACGGACATACCCAAATTGAAGTCATGCAGCAGTAAAGCAGGCAGTGGGGGGGGGATGATGGCACTCCTTATTTGTTCCCCCCTGGAACTCTCCCTAGTCTCAGAGCCCTGTGTAATGGAAAAGCAACAGCATAAGTGTGCAGCCAACCCCCTTGCTCTGCTGGAAATCACCCTCTACCCTGCCACATGATTGCTCTTTAGCTCTGACCTGTTTTTTAAAAAAAGATATGGATAGACCAGTGTTGTTGACTGCAAGTCTGTTCATAGAAATAATGCCAGGAGGAGCAACAGAGGAAGTTGTCTTCCAGCAAGCTAACTCTGCAGGGGACCGTATCTGATTCTCTGGCAGTGTTATCTTCTGGCCCTCATTATGCTCGCTGTCTCATGCAGCATTTCTGACCTGTTGAAACTGTCTAACCCTGTGGATATTTCTGGAAGCTGTTGCCAACTGGTATGTACTGTGTTGTTGCCTACTTTTCCTACAGCCCCTGCAAAGGATAGAAAATGAGGTGGAGCTTCGGGGTGAACAGCACTCCATTGGAGGCTTCTCATATTCTCCTTCCCACCACACTCCTGCACTGTCTCCCTCTGTGCCGCTGCATTACCTTCCACACACCCATGACCCTCTGCATCAGGAACTGCCCTTTGGCGTGGTGAGTGTCCAGCAAGGACCACAAGGGCTGTCTGGAGCCATGAACTCAGATGGAAGGGGGAGAGGGTTAGGCTCTCCACATCACCACTTGTATGCAGCGTGTGACAAAATGAATGTGGGGCCTGTTTCCAGAATCCACTGGTTCTCCTCCAGTAGCCTCTGGGGACGGACAGATACCCTCTCATTAAACCATGACTCAGCAACATTCTGGGCCTGTTTGGGGGTCTGTCCTCTGTCCCTGCAGCTCTAACCTCTGCCAGTTAGCATGATCATTCCAAGAAATCCTGTGAAATTCTCATGCTTGGAGCTATCCATGTGAAAGTGTGCATTCCATCCTTTTGTTGGGAATGTAGAATGTGGTATTGGGCATTGTCTGCTTCCTGAGAATTATAGTTTGTTTTCCATTTTTAAAGGTTCTAGTCCTTGTGGCTGTGAAGCTATGTGAGGCAATGCCTATTGAATTATGGGGAGGCTGAAAAAGATTTCCAACGGCTGTGGATGATGCTTTGGTGCCCTGCTTAGGTCACGACTAGCAAGATGAAATAAGTTATAGTGACAATTGCACAGAAAATTATGTACGTGTAGAAAAATGTGTGTAAATTTGCTCATAATTTCTATGTTCCAGCTTTTAAATTTAATTTTAGGGTAGTTATCCATAGGCTGTGGATTAGGCACCAGCCCCATCTCTGTGGCAACGCTAACTTCTCTCTTGGTATCCCCGACAGCCATATCCACACATGATGCCCAGGCGACTGAACACCCAGCGATACAGATTGCAGCAGCCACTGCCACCCCCGCCGCCACCCCCGCCCCCGTACTATCCGAGCTTCCTGCCATATTTCCTGTGAGTATCCCTTGATTGAGCATTAGCAAAAAGGGAGGGAAGTGCTCCACAAGGCACTTCCAATGGTATGATTCTGCCTTGCGTGTGTGATTCCGCGAACCACTGTTGTTCTTTGATTTTGTACTGCAGTTCAATGCTTCCTGTGTCACCGACAGCCGTGGGGCCGACAATAAGCCTGGACTTGGATGTGGATGATGTGGAGATGGAAAACTATGAGGTGGGTTGGCCTCTCTCTCTGCCCTTCTCAGTGATATCTCAGTGCCGAAAGCATCCAGAGCTGTAGATTGTACCTTAAGTTGCACTCCAAAATGTGTGATAAAGAGCTTAGTACCTCTGTGGTAAAGAAGTGGGTGGTGGCAGGGAAAGGGCATTGGCACAACAGGAAATACTGCCGCACGAGAGGCAGTGAAGGCTTCAGGGTCCAGAGCTGTGACAGCTGGGGCACTGGCAGAAGACTGTATGAGTTTCCTCATATGAAATAAGTTATAGTGACAATTGCACAGTAAATTATGTACATGTAGAAAAATGTGTGTAAATTTGCTCAGGTTGCATAATTGCTATGTTCCAGCTTTTAAATTTAATTTTAGGGTAGTTATCCATAGGCTGTGGATTAGGCACCAGCCCCATCTCTGTGGCAACGCTAACTTCTCTCTTGGTATCCCCGACAGCCATATCCACACATGATGCCCAGGCGACTGAACACCCAGCGATACAGATTGCAGCAGCCACTGCCACCCCCGCCGCCACCCCCGCCCCCGTACTATCCGAGCTTCCTGCCATATTTCCTGTGAGTATCCCTTGATTGAGCATTAGCAAAAAGGGAGGGAAGTGCTCCACAAGGCACTTCCAATGGTATGATTCTGCCTTGCGTGTGTGATTCCGCGAACCACTGTTGTTCTTTGATTTTGTACTGCAGTTCAATGCTTCCTGTGTCACCGACAGCCGTGGGGCCGACAATAAGCCTGGACTTGGATGTGGATGATGTGGAGATGGAAAACTATGAGGTGGGTTGGCCTCTCTCTCTGCCCTTCTCAGTGATATCTCAGTGCCGAAAGCATCCAGAGCTGTAGATTGTACCTTAAGTTGCACTCCAAAATGTGTGATAAAGAGCTTAGTACCTCTGTGGTAAAGAAGTGGGTGGTGGCAGGGAAAGGGAATTGGCACAACAGGAAGTACTGCTACACGAGAGGTAGTGAAGGCTTCAGGGTCCAGAGCTATGACAGCTGGGGCCCTGGCAGAAGACTGTATGAGTTTCCTCATAGCATATGTGGGTGGTTGGAGTCGCATAGAGCAAAGAGGATTTGGGGGGGGGGGAGAAACAGGATTCCCAGAGGGGGGCTGATTTACCTTCTGTCTCTTACCACCAGGCATTACTGAACCTAGCTGAAAGACTAGGGGAGGCCAAGCCACGGGGACTCACCAAAGCAGACATTGAGCACCTTCCGTCCTACCGCTTCAACCCAGAGAGCCATCAGTCGGAGCAAACTTTGTGAGTACTGGCCGTATGTTGGAGAAATCTCTGTTTTGTGCAGTTGGTCCCCAAGTGAGAGGGGCCCCCAAGTGAGAGGGGCCCCCAAGTGAGAGGGGCAGGCATTGCAGCTGTTTCTGGAAGGAAGTGCTTTGGCTGGAATGGCTGAATATGGACAAGAAGACTTGGAAGGCGACTGACGGGGAGGAATATGCATGTGCAGTAAATGCTGTAGTTAGTGTTGGATGCATCTAGATGTCAGTTTTCTAGCATCGATTATCTTCAGTCTTGTTGCAGTCAGAGCCAGATTTATGCACAAGCTAAGTACAGATCAGAGATGCTGCAGGTTTTATAGCAAGTATATTTGGCAGTTGAGCATATCCTGTTTGACACTCAAGATCAGACCATGAGCTTGAACAGATTTATGCTCAACTTGCATGGAACATCTGCCAAACTAGTTTGCAGTTGGCTGTCAGTCAGAAGTCAACTCAGGTTTTGCTCTTTCAGCACTTCCCTCCATCCTAGCCTTTTTAATGTATTTTTTTTTTTTAATAGTTTCAATTTATAGCCCGCCCTCCCCGCAACGCGGGCTCAGGGCAGCTCACAGACACAGGAAGGCTTCAGAAGGAATCAGAAACTGACTCCCAGCTGATTGGGGGGGGGGGCAACTGGGAATGGGCTTCTGATCCAGTGCCTCCCTTAGAAAAATAACTACACAGTGAAGGGGCAGATCAGAAGTGGGCGGCTTCTGATCTCATTTCAAAAGGGAGAGGGAAAAGAGAGGGCTTCTCTTTTATCTCTGCAGCCCAGACTGACAGTTTGGGGTGGGGAAAAGAGGAAGGGAATCAGCTGAGTGTCTGACAACCCATATCGCCAGATTTGCTGCACCTTAGCCAGTCTGCAATGCTGCAAAATTTCCAGGATGTGAGATGAGAAGGACTAGACTTCTAGCTGATCCCTTGTTAGCTGGGAATTGGCTTCTAATATCTGCAAGTAGCTTGTTCAAGCAAACAGATGCAAACTGGTTGCAAAACGCTGGACCACCTGTTGATTAACTGGCTGCAATGTAAACAGAACTGGCAGATGTTTAAGATTCTCTACTACAGATTGGGGCCTCAGATTGGTGAGGTGCCAATAAATTAAAAAAATACTATTAGAATATTTTTGGGAATTAATACTATGGGGCATCTTAAACTTAACATAGTTTAAGAAGAAGAGTTGATTTTATACCCCACTCTTCACTACCTGAGGGGGTCTCATAGTGGCTTACAATAACTTCCTGTCCCCACAACAGACACCCTGTGAGGTAGGTGGGGCTGAGAGAGCTCTGTGAGAACTGCTCTTGAGAGAACAGCGCTGAGGGAACTGTGACTGACCGAAGGTCGCCTAGCTGGCTGCATGCAGAGGAGTGAGGAATCAAACCCAGTTTTCCCAGATTAGAGTCTGCTGCTCTTAACCACTACACCAGGCTGGCTTTCTCAGCTTGTCTTAACTTGACCATGCTTCCAGCTGCAGGCAGACACAGGTAGAGAACTTGGAGAAAAAGCACTCCCAGAAGAGTAGGTTTATGTTTTAAGCAGAGCAAATTTGTATTGGATGCTGGGGATAAAACTGTTACCTCTTGGGCTGGGGAGGAATTTTCTTAGGGAAGTTGTACAATCTCATTGAGAGGTAAGTTTTTTATTAGGATGCTGGATGGGTATCCGTTGGAAACAGACCAAAGAGAATCATGCCCTTAAACTGTATAGTACTTGGAGTCACCGCCTGTGGGCTCCATTTCTTCTTTCCCCCAACCCTCTGTTTCTGCATTGACACTGACTGGATTCTTCCCCCAACCCCAGGTGTGTTGTGTGCTTCAGTGACTTTGAAGTACGGCAGCTTCTGCGAGTTCTGCCCTGCAATCATGAGTTCCATGCTAAGTGCATCGACAAGTGGTTAAAGGTAAGGCCTGCCGCTTTGACCAAGGGCTCTTCTAGCTGGGAAGCTCTCTTTTGTGCTGGTTGTTAATGAGTTAATCAGCAAGGAGCATCTTCATGAATTGCATCATCAAAGGTGCCTGTGCGCGCTCTCACTTCCTGCCCTTGGAAGGGTTTCTAGGCATCATGCAGACCATTTGATTTCAGCCACAGGTGTAGATTGGAGCCTTGATGGCTGCCTTGGTTTGTGGTTATGGCCACAACAGGGTGGGGCACCTGAGTGTGTTGCTGCCAAGTTCGTAATGGATTTCCATTGGATGTTGTGAGTGAATTATTTTCATGTCTATTAAGGGGGTGCCCACACTGTTAAGTACAAACAGAATTCCGTGGTGAATCATGACAATTTCCTTGGAATCCTAGTTTTAATCCAAGTACATAGGCGCCTTTTTATAAGACCCATCACCTGAATCAGACAAAAGGTCTCTATTCTACCATCATGTTTTGAACAGTGGCTGACCAGATGCCTTCAGCAAGCCAACCAATTAGGCTGATTCCCACAGTGCTACAACCTCCTGCAAAATTCTTAAATTCTTTCTTCCTTCTCTTTTACACTATAAATTCCCTAGGTAACTAATCTATTCATACGTAAATTCCTCTATTCCTCTATTCTATTACTAGATTTGTGTCCCACTTATTGATCATAAAACCCTCAAAGCTATCCATACAGCTGTGTGTGTGGGGGGGGAGAGAGACTGCAAGGCTCCCTCCATCAAACCCTTGTAAGTTGATTTATTTATGGGATACATTTGTAAACCACCTTTCTGCAATTTGGTTGGATCCAGTGATCAGTTGTTGGAAGGATTGTGGATCTTTGCTGTATTCCCTGCTGACCATGGAATGTTGATTCTTGGCATCACAGGACCCGTGTGGATTAATAGCCATGTGGGTCAGGGGGCTGCCTTCAGGAAGAGGAGCTATGCTCAAGGGGGGTGATTTTTTGCCCATTCCTCAGTACACTGACCCCCAACTCATGCAACTTGTAGTCTACCCATGCCCTGCAACTCCAGGGAGCAACTTTCTTAGGACTGCAAGAGGGAATACAGTAACGATCTATGGTTCTTGTGCCAGCTGCTCTCTGGATCCAACCAAATAGTAGGAAGGTGGCCTATAGATCAAATCAAGATGGGTAGCCATGTCAGTCTGCCTGTAGCAGTAGAAAAGAGCCAGAGTCCAGAAGCACCTTAAAGACAAACAAGATTTGTGGAAGGGGTAGGATCCTTCATATGGAGCTGCGGTGGCTCAAGTGGTTAAGATGCTGAACTGCAGGCTGTGGAAGGTCAGTAGTTCAGCAGTTTGAGACCTAAGTGTGCTGCATGATGGAGTGAGCTCCTGTCTCTAGTTCCAGCTCCTGCAGCCTAGCAGTTCGAAAGCAAGAAATTGCAAGTAGATAAATAGTTACCACTTCGGTGGGAAGGTAACAGCGTTCCGTGCACCTTGGTGTTTAGTCATGCCGGCCACATGACCACGGAAATGTCTTCGGACAGCGCTGGCTCTTTGGCTTTGAAACGGAGATGAGCACCGCAACCCTAGAGTCGGATCCGACTGGCTTTCGAGCAAGGGAACCTTTACCTATGATCTACTGGACTCTTGCTCTTTTCTACTGTATCAAATCAGTTTACAGCGTTTTACAAACAGAGTATTAACTTCTTCTGCTCCCGTGATGTTCCATTGGACGTGTTTGAACTTGCTTCCACTGAGTTTCCTTTTCATTTTTGTTATCCATTCACCCAGTTTGGAGCAATCCCTCTGGAGTTCTGCACTGTCTGCTTTGGGTTTTGCTGTCCTGAGTAACTGGGTGTCCTCTGTAGACTTGGCCAGCTCCTCGTTCATCCCTCATTCTAGATTAACTTTGTAGCATTGGGGGGGGGGGTTGGGGGGGAGAGGACCCAATGCTGGCCTCTCCCTCATTGAAAACTTGCCATTTGATTCCTACACTTGTGTGTTCTGTTCTTAAGAAATGCTTTCATAAGAAAGACTTTGAAGGTTTCAGGATGTGTCCATTGTGTGTGTGCATAGAACTTAGGTACCCATTGTTACTGCCGGTTGACATCTTGGGCGATCGATCCTTCTTAGTTCTCTGCCCTGTAACTGGGAGAGAATACCAAACCTCCTGTGAATGATGGTGTCTCAGATGAACTAGTACTACTTCTTACTGCTGCTTAATGCATTTGTACACAGTCTTAGGCCCTCTTCTCCTACATTTGTGAACTCTACTACAGATACCCGGCCGAAAAATACCATGCATGTAGCATGTCTGTTCAGAATGGGTGTGTGTGTGTTAAATGCTATCAAGTCACTTCTGCCTTGTGGTGACCTTATGAATTAATGTCCTCCAAAACATCCTATCATTCACAGCCTTGCTCAAGTCTTGCAAACTGAGGGCCCTTGTGGCTTCCTTGATTGAGTCAGTCCATCTCATGTTGGCTCCTCCTCTTTTCCTGCCACCTCCAACTTTTCCTAGCATTATCGTCTTTTCCAGTGACTCTTGTCAACTCTTATTCAGAAGGATGCATGTGTAGAAGTCAGTGCTTTCCCCTTTCAAATACACCTGAGGGGGGAGCAGGAAAAAGCTGGGTGGTGTCTATGTGTATGTGCTTTATAAAACCAAGGTATGATGTGCGTACTTTGTACCTGGGGTATCCTTATTTACCCAATGGATGGAACTGATTAGGTCAAATCACGTGTGCAGTTTATTCTGCTTAAGTTATGCTGTGATAGGATTTGTCTGGCCTCTCGAAAGGGGCCACTGCTCTATCAGCCTGGTAGTTCTACTGAGTTGGATGGTCTCAACAACAGAGAGGCTGTCTGTGTGCCCCTGCAGTGGGCCAGCCCAGAGCCCCTGTGGAAGAGTGGATCGACTAGACGGCTGCCTCCAAAGTCTCACTCTTATCTTGACCCTTGCAGGCAAACCGCACATGCCCAATCTGCCGGGCGGACGCCTCAGAGGTGCACCGGGAAGCCGAGTGAGGCTGGTCGATGCGCTGCTGCACAAATTCACTCCAGGATATGGACCTTGGACCAGGGGCTTGGGCCAGCCTGTATGCTTAGCCTCTGGGGCCTCTCCTGGGATGTGGTGAGAATATAAGCAATGTATGACACCTCCTCCCCCTCACCCCGTGGCATGGACTGGGCCTGGTGGCAGTGCCAGCTCTGCGGTGTCACGCTTTGTAGGGGGAGGCGTCCCCATGTGCTTCGCACTCCAAAGACTCTCCATCCTTGCGCCATTACGCTCCAGGTGTTTGCATTCCTTTTCTTTCTTTTTCTTTTCGAGTTGATGTTTCCTTTCCTTTTTGGCTGTCTGACCCAGATCTTAGTCCAAATTTTTCTCCTTTTGGTGGTGCTAGGTGGGGTCCTTGCAAGCAAAGCAGCTCAAAGGCAGAGGCAAGGAAGTGCCTGCTTCAGTCCCACCAGCTACAGTGTTGCACAGCAGGCAGTGTGTGTGTGTGGGGGGGTGGACTGTGGTTGCTGCAGGATGGTGCGAGGAGGCCCCACTCAGACCATGGCCCAGGGCCACTTCCCAGCCCCCTCACCTTCTCAGGCACCCTTCCGCCCCCCCACACACACACCTGAGACGCTGGGTAGAATTCAGGGCCATTCCTGCCACTAACAGGGGTGCTGGAGTGAGAAAAGGCCTGTTTAAGGTCCCAGCAATATACAGCTGCCCTCCCTGCTATTGCAGTGAGGCGGTGCTGAGGAATTCCAACTATCCCCTCCCCAAAAAAGGAGTAGGAGTATGCGAGTGGGAATCTCTGATAAAGCAGCTGGCTCTGTTTGCCCCATACGTAATCCAGTGGAGCCTGACTTTGTGAGGCTTGTGTTTTGGGATTGGAGAATCATGTTCCAGCAGGTGCTTCTGCCTGTTTTGATCCATCCTTCACACATGCATGCACACCACCCCAAGTGCTGATACATTTTGGGTGCCCCACTCCTCAGTATCTGTCTCTGCGGAACCTACTTTGAATCAAGTTCTTGAATCAAGTTCTTGTCACTGGTGTTCTTTGTTTTTGGTTTTTTTTAAATATTCCCAGTTGCTGTTTCTCTCTCTCCCCCGTTTCCTCCTGTGGGGGGAGATGTTCCACAGTTCGTAGCAGAAGCCTTCAATCCTGCCGTTATGGCTAAATCCCACCCACTCCTCTGCACTGACCTCAGGCTAAGTCCCTGAAGGCTGTTGGGCAGCTGTGACACTCTCTGCAGTAGGACCCTGGGCAGAGAGCAGATGGGGAATTATTTATTAATCTTGTTTTCATCTACCCTGGCACTAGCTATCCTGGGGAGAGCCCATCTGGTGAAATCTCTCCGGGGTGCTGCGCTGCATCAGCCTTCTTTCCTTTACGGTAGGACCAGGCAGGCATTTTCATTCCCTCCCTCCCATTGTCTCTCTCCCATCAAATCTGGACTAATACTGCCACCGCCGCCGCCACCCCGTTGAGTTTTTCTGCATGGCCTGATGCTTGTGCCCTGGATCAGGTGCTGTGGGTGGGTGTTTTGTTTTTGTTTTTAAATGCCATGACGAGCGTACACTCAAAAAGTTGTGTGCCTTCCTGTGTTTGCACACACAATCCTACCTAAAAAAAACCTGCTGATTGGAAGCAAGAAAGCAACCAACCTGCCACCCTGGTACAGAAACCTGTAATTGTCAAAAAAAAAAAAAAGTTGTTTTGCATGATGATACCGTGGAGCAAGAGAGAAGCCCTCGCTGTGTAGTTGGTTTGTGTTCTGAAGCCTGGCAGAAGACTCGGAGAGGATGACAAAACCTAATGTAAATGTTCACAAATTATGCATGCATGTTATGACCAGCTTGGAACTTGGTATTGGCTAACTCTCTAGCCAGCTGTGGGGTGATGGGGTGGGTGGGGAAGAGGGAGTTCTTTGTGCTCAGCTGATTACTGCCATGCACTGTACTGCACATGTCCGCAACGCCTCACAAGGACCGTTAATGCTTTTCAGGGCATTTCCCTCTCCCCTCCTCCTCCTCCTCCTCAAATTTAGAGATTGATTGGGAACTGGGGTTGGGCCAGGAGGAGGCAGCAGCAATCTTGTTTTGACTTCCATCTTAAGCTAGGGCTTGCGTGGCTCAATGAGGTTCAGGCCCCTATGCTGTTAACAGCTGCCTTAAGAGGAGGATTTTGGCCAGTGCAGCTTTTCCTTTATGGTGCTGCAGAGGTGGGAGAAGTTGCACACGGTGAAATACTACTTTCTCTGCAACTATTAGCCGTTTGGGAATCTTGTCCTATGTTGACTTGGGTAACCCTACAGGGCAAGTCCAGCAGCACGGGTCTCTGTGCCAGATTTGTTTCCCACCCACCACAAGGTGGTCCATCCACTGGTTTCCTCCAAACATCTGTCCCTCCCAAGTGATTCTAGATTGCAGTCTCCGCCTGGCCTTTTTGGGTCTTTCTCCCTTTCCCCTTTGAAGGGAGCAGTGGGTGGCAGAACATGAGAGCAGTAGCTGCTAGAAAACCCTAGGCTGGGCCATGTACTCAATCCAGGGACCTCCAAAGCGGCTGCCTGGCTCTGCATTCATTGGTGTGGCCCTTTGTCCCAGAGCAGAGAGGCATGAATGGAGCAGGCAGAGTGCCCTGATATTTACATTAGTTGGGATCAGCCCAGAGGAAACGGGATTTGCAAAGGAGGAAAAAAAAAAATCTGCTTCCAGTTCTGCTCTTTTCTGTAGAACGTTCTGAGCTTTGATGGTGGCTGGGGAGGGGAAGCGGCCTCTCTTAAAACAGTGGGCAGGCGCAGTGTAGCTGTCGGTGTTTTTCTGAGCACACCGGCTCTCAGCAATACTTACCTCTGAAGCAGGGGAAAGCCTGTAGGTGTGACTTGGGCCGCTGGGCCTTTTGCCACTGGTGCTCACTGCCATGCACGGCAGAGGTGAGCAGCAATTCCCCCCTGGCGGTTGCTGGAATTCTTGGCCCACCTGAAGTTAGGGAAGGGGAATCCGGAAGCTGTTTGGGGCCTCTTTAACCCCAGTCCAGGAGGAGAGCCTCCAACCCTTTGGCTCCTGCCCTTTGGATTATGCAGGCACACAACCAGGCAGGGCAACAGAGCAAATTTAAGGTTGTGCTACAACCTGACAGTGGCTTTTGTTCAAGAGAAGCAGCCGGCCTGCTGCCAGGATCAATGTATTTGAAAATAACCTGCTGAAACGCTGGGCAGGTCCCAGCTTTCTTTTAAAGAAATCACTGACCTGAATTTCTGATGAATGAAGATGATGATTTTTTCCCCCTCTTGTAATGTTTTAGCAGATCTAGGTTATGTTTTTGCAGTCATTTTGGAGAGGGTCAAATAACCTCTTTGTTCCCCCTTCCCCTAAGGGTTAGAATAGCTGCAGCTGGATATCTAAGCCAGGTACTGGCCCTTGCACACACCCAGAGGAATGGGCCACTCGCCATAGTAAAACTGCACAGACACCAGCAGCCCCCTCTCCCCGTCCCTTCCGTGACCAATTGAGTCGCCCCCTTCCCCTCACATGTCAAGCCAGTGCCTTGTGTCAGACCCACCTCCTCTTCCCCCCCAGCCTTTCCCCTTGTTTCACAGCTTTTTAAGAACAAAAAACTTATTTCACATAACACAAATAACCAAAGGTCTTTACTCTGTGTGTGTGTGTGTGTGTATATATTAAAAAAAACCCACAGGAGGTGTTTCTGTATTCATAGCCAATCAGAATCGTGCTGGTGCCCATCTGTTTTAAGTGCTCTCTTCTTCCTCTCCCACCATCCCCCCCCCTTTGGGAAAAGCGCGCTGGAAGGGTTATTGGAGGCGGGGAGGGTGGAAAAGCCTTACGGTTCTTCTGACGGTGACTCGAAAGCTCACAGCTCGTGTGCTGCAGAATTTATTCCAATGAGCAGCTAAAAATGATCATTTTAAAAAAAACAAACAAAAAAAATTACTAAAACATTTATTTAGGATGTTTGTGATTGCTGATTGCGCTGTAGATGCCACTGTTTACCAATGATTTCCTGTGGTGGGATAGTGGACTGTTTGCTGTTCTTTTATACCAGTCCCCGTGCCCTCCAGAGGGAAAGCTCAGCTTTTCCCT